GCTGAGTATGACCAATCACCAAGCGTTGCGCGTTCACACAGCATTCTTCAATAGAACACACCGTCTGCTGTTGAGCGGCCTCGCCTGAATCCTGCTTGAGACTCCCTTACGTAGCTGTCTGCTGCTGTCCGCGTTCGACGGTTCAGAATACATGTCTGTACTTTCCTCACCACAGATAATAATGTGATGGTTCGGTAGCTTTTTGGTATTCCCATCTGCTTACCAGGCTTGTAAATTGGCACCAATACACCGCATCTCAAATCGTTTGGGCAATGGCATAGGATCCGCACAGCATCGAAGAGGTTTGCTAACCATGTTCCGATGATGTCCATGGCGGATCTCAGCATCGCTGCACTTATCCCATCACACCCAGCGGCTCCCTTTGTTCGTTGACTGAGAATAGCTGCCTTGACCTCCTCAATTGTGAAGGGGGGTTCAGACACCACTTGTTCGGTTACTAGGTCCGTGGGCAGGTCAGAGTTGTAGAATACTGATGAGAAATACTCCCGGAACTTGTCCAAGTTCCACTGTAGACCTGTTCCACTGTTTGGTATGGCAGGCTGAACTCCTGTCATCTCTCGTTGTATCCCCTTCGGGAGTTCTAACTGTTCCAAGACAACTGTTTCAGGATGAATGAATGAATGACGCAGGAATGAGTCCTTCGACGACGAGGACCGGTATGCAGAGTAGCGACGTTCAACGTGCGCTCGCTGCGAAGCAGTAGCAAGAAAACATTAATTATTCTCGACTTTGAACAATACAAACTTGACGTGCTTGGCGTGACGGAGACTTGGATAAGTGGCTGTGGAGTCGATGTTCTAGAGAATTGCCATACTCTGTATCGCTCTGGTGGCCCGTCTGCTCGCGCAGGAGTCGCAGTCCTTGTAAGCAAGCGACTCGCGACATATGTTGTATCGTGCAAATTTATTTCCAACCGCTTGGTGGTTGTCCGCAAGAGAGCAGGCCCGCATTCTGACAGAAACTCGATAGTGGTGGTTTGTTGCTACGCTCCCACCCTACAACGCTCGACGACCCATCCAGCGGAGGCAGACGCCTTCTACTCCAGTCTGAAGCAGGTCATGGCAAAGGTGCACCATCGTGACGAAGTGTGGATCCTTGGCGACCTGAACGCGAAAGTTGGCAGTTCACAACCCGGAACATACAGTCCGGGTAGACATTTCTCCAAGCATCTCCAGAGTAATGACAACGGTGAGCATCTCATTGAATTCTGTGAGGAAAATGATCTTGTACTTACAAACTCTTTCTTCAAGCACCGCATGTGTCACCGCTCAACTTGGTTTGCAGACGGGCTACTGCACGCCAATGGGAAACCAGTAAGAAACATGATCGACTTAATTATCATGCGGCGATCGAATGTGCTGAAAGTTGTAGACTCGAGATCTTATGGAGGTTTCGTGACACGATCAGACCACCACTCCGTGATAGCAGATATCAAGTTTGAGTTCTGGCGGTGCCAACATCAGCAAAAGTCAGATGCGCTGTGTTTTGCTAAATACAATGCTCTAACCTCGGACTCAGCGGTGCAATTCCAAAATGCGCTATCGGAGAAGCTACCAGAATTTGAATCCCTGCCCATGGGAGATGCCTCGACTGTCGACTGTGCTTGGGCCGCAATCAAGACAGCATTGCATGAATCGGCCTCTCAGGCATTCGGCACATGCAGTCGCCCACAACAACTGATCAAGACATCTGATCCTACCATTCGGACACTATCCGAACAACAGAAGCAGCTGCACATTTTAATCAACAGAGAAAACAATAAGGACAAGAGACAAGTACTGAAATCAAATCGGAATAAGGTGATGCACAAAATTCGATCTCTCCGAAAGACCCAAGAAGACCAGTTCTGGCAGGACAAAGCCAACGCTGTTGACGCCAGGAGACCCGACGCCAGATCCTATTTTAGCGCAATCCGACAGCTGCGTGATCTGCGTGGGGGCAAGAAGTCGCATCGTATTCAGCTAGCCAATGAGGATGGAGAGATCGTAACTGGTCACAAATAGAACCGTGCTATATCGCTGTTATATGGTAGAATGTAGGTTCAGCTCAGTTATCTGCCACGATTATACTGCAACATTAGTGATGCCTCGAGGTGGTTAGCTAGTAGCGGCTGTTGCTGGCTGGAAGTAGTAACTTGCAGTAGCAAGAACATGCGCTCAGCAGGTGCTGATGAGGGCAGCATCGAGTACACAACTCTGGCCGCATTCTGCCAAGCAGGCAAATTGCCATGTACTTTCCACCATGCCAAGGGTGAGTGCTCTTTGTCCATGACAGCATCTTGGGCAGCAGCAAGGTAGGCTGGGAGCTCCTCTCGTAGCTCGTGTATGATGGGGTTGTCAGCAAGCAGCAGAACATGGCGCAACTGCTCCACACTTTCTCGGCTAATGTTCAGGTTGAATGCCTTTTTGGGGCAAAGCATTCGAACTGCCTTGAACATCTGCATGATTGGATAGAAATCACCATCCTGGTGGTTCCTGCCTCGGCGGAAGTAGCGGATTGAATCGGCGACATAGCCTCGTGACTCAGCAATTGGAACTTGCGCTTCGTTGTCACCTGCCAGCTTCTTTGCGACAGCCAGGGTGTTGGGGTAGGACGGCTCACCCACGACAAGGTCAATTCTCGCAAGTGGTCGTAGGCGTCAGCGATCACTTCGCCATCTCCCTCCATAACATAAGTCTTCTGGACAAATGACTTGCCAACATCAACAGTGGCTGCAAGTTGAAGCTGAAGAACTAGGCTCGCTGCAGGGTTTTGTAGGATGTCTACGAGGTACTGGCGTGCTGCGAGTGAGTAGGTGATCTTCTCGAGGAATGGCTGGACATCACCGAAGCACTCAAGGACTTGAGCCAACATCTCGTACCAGCTCCACCACCTTGTCGGGCAATACGACTTTACAGCGCATTCTGTGCGGGTGCGCCACTCCATCTTGGTGGCTGGGCTGTGAGCAAACAGAGACACCCACCACTGGAGGAACGTTTCCAGAAGCTTCACTTGGACATGTTTCCCAACATTATCCAACGTATGAGACACGCAGATGATGTCCATGGGTACATGATATCACGTACGTAGCACATTGCAGCACCATTCACAGCAGCTCCATCCCTTATTGCAGCCACAAGAGAAGTAGCTGCAAGATGGTATTCCGTCGACAGGCAGGTGATGATCTCTCGAGTCAGCTGCTGAGAGGTCAGACTCTTCGACAAAATGCGGAGTCAGACAAGTTGCTGAGCTGCCTCCCAATTGGTATAGACGAACCGCAGGATAATGACAAGCGCGTCCCCCAAGTGGTTGCTCCCATCAACCATAACTGAGCAGGCTGTGATGCCCTTGATTTCCTCCATCAGTGCCTTCCGTTCTTCATCCAAAATTAGGGCTGAAACGATCATGGATTTTTAAGTATAAATTACTTTTTAGCTTAACGATCGAATAATCGATTATAATCGTTAGCAAATAGAGTCGTAATTCTGTGCAAACATTACTCTGTTTCCACAAACTATGCCTTCATAATACCAACAAATCTGCATTAGTGAAAGGGTAGCTCCGAAACATGGCAGTTTTGAAGTCAATTTAACCTCAGAACATGAACCATACCCCTGGCAACTGCATACTCCCAGCGGAAACTGATTCAAACTTCACAAAACGAGGGTTTACAGTACTTCCTGGGCACAAATTTAAAACACGCAAAATAACCGTAATCGGTAATCTAAACGATTGCTCGATCGTTAGAGTTATCGAACGAGTACTCGATTATTCGGTATAATCGTTTCAGCCCTATCCAAAATGAATGGAATGTACTGGCCAAGGTGTGTTGAAAGGGTGAGGCGGTGTGGACCATGCTCGAGTATAGTGCGGAAGGAGTCAATCTTAGTCAATGGCACCGCAGCCTTGAGGAAGGATGTGACTACGTTGATTCTGTGCAGCGACTGCTCCATTGGCACAGCACCTGACAAGCCAGTATCAGCGAGCGCAATCAGATCCTACACAGAGAGGTTGCATCTACCTGAGCGTAACGAGCAAGACTTTGAATGAAAGTCAGAGCCCATTGAGAGAATGGAAGACGGTGTCCAGATGTCCAGAGCAGTAACTGGGTACCGTCAAGAAGTGAAGCCCTAATAGTTGGATGTAAAGGGTTACATGCATTGGATACCTTGACAGCCACGCACAGTAAATGGCCCAGCAAAATGTCCTACGTTTTCAGAGCTGTCCTACAGTTTCTAAAGGAAAATCATGTATTCTTCTATAACTTACAAATGTTCTATAGTTTTAGGAAACGCGGAACGAAGATTATAATTATGCCCTTTAGATTACTAATTGAATCCATGAGTCATTCGCCCTTTATGGATAATTCTCTAAAACAATGACAGATTCTACTTGAAAAGCATTGAAATTTCCAGAACCTTCAACCTTATAGCACGCACTTCCGTTATTTCTGCTCCATTTCTTCATGTACCTAACAAAAATGGCGGTTGCCAACATAACAAAATATTAACAACACGAACCATAAAAAACGGGTTTTTGTACCTTTTCTACCGCCATGATCCGCCAAGGACTATGAGTCTATGAGTCCCTGGGGAAGTCCCCGTTTAGGTATACTGTTTAACGTCATATTCAGTTCTCACGCAATTTGTAACAATTCAACCCAGTATATTTTTCATGCTTGGGTGGTTAGTTATTTTTCTGCAGTGTCAAATAAAGTACCTTCAGAAATTGCATTTTCTTAGCTTTGCAACAAACCTCATGCTTGACAATGGAAAGAAAAATGACGGAAACTATATGTTACAGTGGTGTATGTGAACTGTGCAACCTAACCAACCAAGTTGCATATGAATCATGTTGTGGTTAGGAGTCTAGGTTGTTCCTGAAAACAGCGTCATGTTTCGGAATTATATATTAGAACCACTATGCCCTAGACTCGGTATTTTGTGCACTACCCGGAACTAAGCAAGAACAACATTGTCTTTGTGCTTTGTCGTTTGTAGATATTTGGAGAGTAATCAGATCCAGACTTTAAGTGACGGTGTGTTCTCTGGTCTAACAAACCTCCAAACACTGTAAGTATTCTCAACTGCACCACTGAACGCAGAGAATAGTAATTATAACTGTGTGTATATAGAGTACTGCTGGAAACGTGATGAACAAACCTCTATTATCTCGGAGTATTATTATCTGCTGCACTGATTGAAGGAAACAGTTGTAAACGCTGTGTGTGAAATGCTTTGTTATGAAGCCTCTGATTCTCGCAAGTGTCAGGAACGAATAACCACACGTCACGAGGACAACTACTTTTTCTTAACTGTATATGTTGGAAAAGAATTCGGGTGGACACACCCATTCCCATAGCGCTGCACATCACGTCCGAACCAGTTCCGTTATTTTTCCAACGTTTCGGCACTTGGCCATCATCAGGTAATAACAATGAATACCGTGGAAGCCACACAAGAGCAGTATGTGAAGCGCCAAAAAAGATGCGAGTAATGTCACTTAGGGTGCGTTTGGTTGGTACGATCTAGAACAGGATCGAACAGCTGGTGCACATGGAGCAGCCTCATGCCAACCAAACGGTACTCCACAAACAGAGCACATTTTTGTGGAAAAATGTGCCAAACTTGGTGCATTCTTCAAAATGTGTATGGGTCACCATGGTTACTTAGTACGGTACAACGAGTCCAACCCAAAAGCGTATGCACGTGATCATTTGGGAACAAAATCGATGTTCCCGCCAGGTTTCACTGTGAAAAAGTGAAACTGCTCGGCCTGCTCCGGCCTCGAGGCCGGAGCAAGCAGAACATGTTCTGGCCGACCCAGAACAGGTGCAGTCCCAACCAAACGCGCTGTTCTGGTGAATCCTGTTCTAGTTCGTACCAACCAAACGCGCCCCTAGTATGCAGAAGGGGGGCAGAGAGAGAGAAAAAGCGCAACTAGCACATCACGGAGGAGAAGGCAGCGCACATTGTGCTCTGTGAACGGCGTTACACAGAGTGTAGCGCCAAAAAAATAAAATAATGATGCGAGTTATGTCACCTCTATACAGAGGGGGAGAGAAGAAACAACTGTGCACATCACGGAGAAGAAGAGCGCGCCGTTGTGCTCTACGAAGTGAGGGTACATGCCAAATAATTATGGTGTTAATTCTAGCACATTACAGGAGGGGAGCACGGAGGCCCATGCGCCAATGCACTATGAGGTTAAACTTCCATGCCAAACTGTTACCACCAGGGACGCGACGAGGCATCAGGAACAGAATAGATTTCATCAGTGCCGGCAATGCAAATGTAAACGTGATGGTCGGACTTGTTTGGATTGCAAACCTGGCGTGAGTGAGAAATGTCGGAATCCTCACAACATCTCGTTAATATTGCCGGACGGCGATGTGGGTCCTCTGTTTCCAGTGAACCACGTGGTATTGTCCAATGCCGGCGGTGGTGGTAACTCGAACCATACCCATAATGCTGTTTTTCGGATGGCGGCTGCCCATGAGAGTGCACATGTGGGTGATGACCTTTCAACAGTGCCAGTGGCTGTTGTTTCTTGTTGCAGTTCCATGGCTGGACCTTTGCGTGCCAGCGTCCCTGTCGCATTGGTTCCTGACAGTAACGACCTTGATGCTGTCCATGGCATTTGTGCTGCTTCGTCATGTGCATCAATTGCGCGTGATGTTGGTGCAGTTCATTGTGCTCAGCCATTGGCGGAGTCTTCTCCAGAGAAACATGTTCAGGATCGACCCTTGTCGACCACAGTAGTACCTGGTGTGGATGACTGCGGCCATGTGACAGCCACTCGTGAAACGTTTTGTCTGGGGAATTTGATGGCATCTGAGACTATGACGGCTCTTTCCACAGCATATGACAATTGTGTGCATCTTGCTCCGAATGCATTTCAAGTGCCTCGCGGAAATGTTGACCGGAGATTTATAACAACTCTATCTACTTATTTCAACTGTTTTGGTGATGCAGGATCATACGCTGACAGCGCGTTGATGGTGGCAGCAGTATTTCAGATGCTGATACTGCAGGTTCCGCGCAGTGATCCTCCTGCTCTTGCCAAGCTCCTGGACAGGCGTTTGGACCAGTGGTTTCATGGTCAGATTAATGAATTATTGTTGGAAACAGAGACTATGCACAATCTCCGGGCGAAGTCCAGTACAAGGGGTCGAGGTCGTCCTGATGATCCTGCACGAGAGTTTGCGGATTGTGTCGCATCTGGGAGGCTATCGGCTGCTCTGCGCTTCCTTGGAGCTGATCGTGGTGGTGGAGTGCACAGCATCAGTGATGAAATTGACGGTGTTCCAGTAATCGATATATTGAAGCAGAAGCATTATGGGGCTGAGCCCGTGTGCGACGAGGCTCTGATACCGGGACAGCCGCCTCCTCCTCCGCATCCCATCTATTTTGCTTCGCTGGGGCGCCGTGCTATCTGACAGGCAGCGCTAGGCACACAGGGCGCAGCGGGACCCAGCGAAGTGGATGCTGAGGCCTGGCGTCATATGTGCTCCAGTTTCACGGACGCTCCGGATGGGTTGTGTGATGCGCTTGCTTCTTGTGCCAGGAGAGTGGCCACTGAGCATATTGATGCTGGTGCATTGATGGCGTTCACTGCAAGTCGCTTGCTGCCCTTGGACAAGCGGCCTGGTGTCAGACCAATTGGCATCGACGACGTTGTTCGTCGCATTGTGGGGAAAGCAATTGTGTCCATTGTGGGCCCTGCGGTTCAGCAGGTTGTTGGCTGCTCCCATCTGTGCGCCGGTCAGGACTGCGGGGTGGAGGCAGGCATACATGCTATGCAGGAGGCGTTTGCTCGAGAAGAGGCCGATGGAATTCTGATGGCAGACGCAACAAATGCTTTCAATCGCCTGAATCGCAGCGTCTGCCTTCGGAATGTTCAACATCTTTGCCCGCCTCTGGCCACTGTTTTAATTAACACCTACAGGACGCCTGCATGCCTATATGTCGACGGTGATTGCATCTTGTCGGAGGACGGAACAACCCAGGGAGATCCTCTAGCAATGTACATGTATTCCATTGGCATGATGCCACTCGTGCACAAAGCTGAATAGGCCTTGACAGATTATGCTGGCATAATTTTTCGCATAATTTCTACCAAAATCGAATAATCGCATTATTCGAGGCAAATTGCATATGAATCGCATAAAATTGGACTAATCCGCCTGTTCGCATCAAATTCCATACAGTTGTACATGTTCTACAAGTACAAGTACAAGTAGACATACCAGGAAGTCGTAGGTTTACGACTCCCTTGATAACATGTCCAGTCCACTACAATCAGTGACCAGGGTGACGGTCGTAGCTAGGTCGGACGGTGCGTTGACCCCGCTGAACTTTTGCTACTACAGTATAACGCCCTCTACAAAAAAATTAGGGCTCAAACGGTTAGTCCGATTAACCGGTTGCGGACCGGTTACGAAGAATTAACGGTTAACCGATAAAGATAACGGTTACGCAGTAACTTTTCAGTCAATTTTTCAAGTATCAGGTCGTTGCAAAGTATGCACTTTCGCAGGCTGTCGCACGCGTACGCAATTTCTGGGCTGTCAACTCGGTCATATGACTCATATCTGGTCTCTTCGTGTGAGAGTATGTATGAATGAGCATGCAAAAGAATATACATGTGTGCGTTGTACTGAATAGGGTTCATTTTTTGAATAAGTATAGCCAAATATACAGTTAAAAAAGAGTCCGCAGGATTGCCATGGCTTATACATGTAGGTTATAACCGTTAAACAGACCGTTAGCTTAGCAGTTAACCATTGGGGGTAAAACCGTGGCCGTTTGAGCCCTAAAAAAATTCACCTGTTATTTTTCACAGAACCATCATATACATTAGGAGCATATGTGAGCATAATGCCGCATAATATGATAACTTTTCGCATAATATTAGCATAATTCTGCAATTTTTTCAGCAATGCGAAAAGCATAATTTCACGAAAATATTAGCATAATCTGTCAAGGCCTAAAGCTGAACAAGCCGGGACTATCCAGTCTTGGTTTGCAGATGATTCCGCAGCGGCGAGTGTGTTGCGTAGGCTCCGTCGTTGGTGGGACATCTTGGCAAGTGATGGCCAAGCTTATGGATATTTCCCAAACACATCAAAATCGATTCTGGTGGTGAAGGAGCGTTGCTATCGTGAGGCAGTTGAGCTGTTCAGCGACACCAGTGTCGTCATTACGTGTAATGGAGCTCGGTACCTGGGGGCAGCCATCGGCTCAGCTGACTTCAAGGAGAACTTTGTATCGACTAAGATCCAGGAGTGGGCTGATGAGCTAACTCGATTGGCTGATTTCGCTCGATCGCAGCCCCCGGCAGCATATTATGCATATGTCTCGGGCTTGAGAAGTCGCTGGGATTTCCTATGCCGCGTTCAGTCTATTTCTCCGTCCCAGTTCCAGCCACTGGAGGACGTGATAAGCACGAAGCTTATACCAGCAATGACGGGTCGGCCACCGCCTGGCACAGTGTTGAGGGAAGTACTCGCAATGCCCTGTCGTTTAGGTGGCCTGGGCCTGGTCAGCTCGATGACTTTGTGCTCCCAGTATGAGTCGTCTGTCACCATCACAGCATCTCTCTCCCGGCAAATCGTGGATCGTGTTTCTGATATTGGGAATTCTCTGATTGGCATCCAGCGGGAGAAGGCGAAGAGGAAGAAGGAAGTACGTCATAGCCAAGCGGAGTCGGCACGGCGTATCAGCAATGATGCGTCGGACGCCTTGCGACACACCATTGTCCTCGCCCGTGAACCTGGCACCTCGAGTTGGCTGACTTGCCGTCCATTGAAAAAGTATGGCTTTTCACTGAGCAAAGCTGAGTTCATGGACGGCTTGTGCCTTCGTTATGGTTGGATGCCCCCGAGGTTACCAACTCATTGCTCTTGTGGACGGGACAATGGTATTGACCATGCCTTGTCATGTCCCCTTGGTAGTTTTACCATTATCCGCCATAATGAGATCCGGGATGTGACAGCCTCTCTCCTTCAAGAGACCTGTCACAATGTCTCGATCGAGCCACTGCTGCAGCCACTCACTGAAGAGAAATACAG